GGCTTCCAGGTGGCCCCAGTTGGGACAAGTGTATTTCTCACCCGTGAAATCTCAGGCTTCCCTCTGCTCCTCGGAAAGGTGCTATGAAGGGCAAGTGAGGTGACATATGGTCGATAGGGAGCACGAGGGATTCCGGATTTGCCCCGGGTGCTTACATGCCATTGCTTGGACAGGCGATGTTTTGGGCCCAGGCATGTTCTCCACAGAGCTGATATTTACCATACTGGGCTTTCAAAGGTGGGGCTCCCATGGACTGTATTTCCCTCTTCCATCGAACAACATCTAACCAGCTGTCAAGGCTTCTTGCTGTCTTTTCAGAACGTATGTGTTAGACAGGGTTCTGGCACAATAAACTATCTCAACGTAGCTCCCATTTCTCCCAGCCCTACTCCCCTGGATCTAGCACTCAAGTGACCACCATCTCTTTCCATCAGGACGACCCTCTACAGCAGAGCAGTTGATCAGTGGGTTTTTGTTTTTTTTTTAAATTTTCCAACAAAGATATGCAGGTCAGAGGGGGTTTCAAAAGGTTTGTGGGAAAATCCTATGGTCCTTTCATTCAATTTCTCCACAAGCTTTTTGAAGTTCCCTTGTATTTCCTGGCAAAGGAGCCCTGGAGGTGCAGCGGTTACTCGATCGGCAGGGTTGGCAGTTCGAAGCCACCAGCAGCTCCCAGTCCCGTAAACTGCTAGTCTCGGAGCTCCCCAGGGGGTTGCCATGCGTCAGCAGTGACTGGATGGCAGGGAGCTTGAGTTTGAGGGTTTTTGTTTTTTAATATTTCCTAGAACCAAAGAGGAACCTTAAAAATTCCAAGTACTAGTCATCAGGCTCAGAGTTGGTGATCTGCATTCCTAGCTTTCTTTGCTTGAGGTAAACGGCTTCTGCTCATCAGCTAAACAGCGACGGTGACACACAGGAGCCACACAGCCTTTGAGTGGCTTTCCAATGATTTCCCAGCGAGGGGAGGAGCGGTAGTGATCTCTGAATGGTTCGCTGTGGAGCAAGACCCGAACCTCAGAACCTGTCTGAACATTCCCTAAATACTTGTATTCGAAAACCTTTCAATGCTAAAGAGGGGGGACAATAGGAGTTAGCATAGAATCAGAATGAACACTTGGCCCTGCCTTAGACTTACCTGCCTCCATTTTGCATATAAATCCATTCTTTTCTTGACAGGGGGACAACTGCCACAGGCCTTCTGGGATCTTCAGGGCAACACACAGATGGGGTTTGAAGAGGTCCGTCTCTGGCTCCCAATCTCCCCAGTTGGACTGGTCTGTGGGAGTCCCATCAAACCACTTCGTGGTTTCATCTGTGGGAGAAGTGTGCACTTAGTATGCTAAGAGTGCTGAACCGTACAAGGAGCGTTTCAGGGGATGCTCTCCATATTGAACCGTGCGTACGTATCAATAAAAGGAGTGTGGTGGTGCTGGGGGCTAGGCAGTGGGTTACAGAAGGATGCCAGTTCAAACCCATCAGCCGCTCCGAGGGAGGGAGATGAGGCTGTCTGCTCCCAGCAAGAGTTAATCTTGGAAACTCTATCGAGCAGATATTTTCAAATTTACTTGGTTTACCACCACCCTTTCAGAAAAAGAGATCACACGGGCAGCCTTGTCTATGACAGCCTGCCATCCGGACGGAGGCCTTACAGTGCAGGCGCTGGAAGACTGTGAAAGTCCCACGGACTGCCCACGGGACAAACACATCTGTCTTGGAAGCAGTCTGGCCAGAGTGCTCCTCAGCGGACAGTTATGATGAGACTCCATCTCACATACTTTGGACATATTATCGGGTGAGATCAGTCCCTGGAAAAGGAATGCTGGGTAAAGTGGAGGGGCACCCCCAGAGAAAGGACAAACCTGGATGAGATGGATTGGCAGTACAGAGTGGTTACAAAGGAGGGAAAGTAAAATGGAAACTGACTGAAAGTCTTTACTTTTTAAAATCCTTTTATTGGGATCTCTTACAGCGATCCCAACATTCTATGAGTTGGAACAGACGCGGTCATACTTAACAACAATATCTACTTTTCGTCCCCACTTCTCAACTGGGGAACAGCCATTCCTCCCATCTTGGGACTTCACTTACCGAGCTCTCCACGCCGATTAAAATAATTTTCTTTGCACGTTCTTTTCAATAACCACCAATTAAACAAAATAAAAAACACCATGTTCTCAATTTGTTACCAATTCTGGTGTATAGGACCAGTAAATAATATGTCTAATACTGCAATCTATCCCCAAAACATTTATTTTAGCCCTGTTGTGCTTTTATACCATTTAGGAACCTGGTGTATTTTCAAGTAAATATGTTTTTGTTTTGCTTTGTCTTTCATGCGATCACAAGATTTCTGAATACAAGTCCCCACGTCATGCATCATTGCCACAATAAGAAACGGAGAGGAAGTATAAAAAAAACCTAATGTTGCTATTTTGTCTGTTTTTATTTGGGGGATATGGTGAGGGCCAGAGGGCACAGACAAGGGTTAGCATAAGACAGACAGAGAGAGAGAGAGAGAGAGAGAGAGAGAGAGAGAGAGAGAGAAGAGACATGGTCTTCAAAACCTTCCAGACTCGACTCTTCAGACCTAAACATTGGTCTGAGTAGTTACAAAGGAGGTAAAGGAAAATTGAAACTAACTTAAGTGATTCTTTTTTATTATCCTTTTATTGGGGGCTCTTACAGATATCCTAACGTTCTATCGTTCAGTCACATCGAGCAGTACTGTACACTTAATAGCACAATCCGTTTCAAAACATTCTCCTTCTTGCCCTCCTTGACATCTGCTCCCTTTACTTTATCCCTTCTTTCCAGACCCAGACCCCTCTTATATATGTACATATGTACGTACACACACACACACACACACACACATATTTGCTGTATCTTACACTATCTAATCCATTCACTTACAAGTCTGTTGTTTGCTGCCCTTGAGTCGGGGGAAGCACTCATCAGTGCTATCAGCTGCCCCTTCCTCCCCTTTCTTTTGTGACACACAAACTTGTTTTAGGCAAAAAGGAAGGAAGGCAGGAAGGGAGAAAAGAGTTGGTGATGCTACCCCTGCTCTCCCACAGCAAATATTGATGTAGGCAGAGCTTCAGACGCAGCAGCAGCAGCAACCTTAACAGCTGTGCATCACTTCTGCCCCGTCCTCCTGTCTACCCACGCCACTTACTGTGAGCATCGAACTGAGCATTCAGCCAGACCATCTGGACAGAAGAGCCCAAAGCAAAGAGCTCTTCTAGGAGAAATGCGTTTTCAGCCTCCTCTTTGATGGTTAAAAGATTAGCCCCTGTAGGAGAGACACATAGCAAATGAACGAGGAATCGTGGTTATGCCTAAGCACAACTTGAAAAATGCCCCCTCATTCCATAATCTAGAAAGTCCAGCCTTTGAAACTGGAAACTTCCAACAGTCATTTTTCCTTTAAAAAAGTTCAGAAAAGCCACATTTATTGAAAGACACAAGTTTGCACTTAAGAAGTTAAAAAAATAGACGATGAATTTTAAGGGAATATTAAACATTCATGATGCAAATGTCTTTACGAGGAACACAGTCTTGGGGAAATGCAGGTTTCTGAGATATTGTCTTTGGTTTTCAAATGCTATTTCGAACCACAAGTCTCATACATTCGTTGGCCCCAAACAAGCAAATGCAATAGGATTTATTTTTGCAATTCTTTTTGTTGTTCCTAGAGGCACTAAAAAAAAAAAAAATCAGACAAATGAAGAAAAACCGACTTCTTTGCTGAAATGTCAAGAAAGAGGACATGGAGAGAATTTTACCATCACAAAAGAATTACCTTCCTTTCTGCAAAATTCATGAGCCGCCTCAAAACTCATACTGTTTAGAACGGTGGAAAAACTGTAGCAATTGCTTTTAAATTTTGTCCAGGGAATAGATGTTTCTGAGCACACCGCTGGGTGTTCCAATGGCCTCGTCTCTAAGAACAAAAAGCAGGGTGATTGCAGGGTGGTGGCGGAGTTCATATGTTGAGACAGACATTGCATGATCTCATATGAAAGACCAAGATAAATATATATAATGAGATTTTCACGGTAATACTCAGAAAGATTGCGTTTAATGCAAATGATTACAAAACCAAGACTGGTTGATAGCATGTCTGGCAGGAATAATCTGTACCGATACATAACGGGGCACCTTCATGCATACTCTCCTAGGCTTAGTGTGGATGCTGCTCGGGTGACCCCGGCTGTCTTTTATGCTTCCAATTACTGTCCTAGAAGTTGGAAGGACTGGGGTGATGTGATTCACAGAAACAGCGGCGGCTGAATGATGCTGACAAAAGAGACTTCCAGTTGAACCAGAGGCGTTTCATGCAGTGCTGAGAATCAGGGAGTTTAGAGATCCTTACCTGGAAACCAACCTAGGAGAGGTCAAGACTGCCTGAGGTCCAAGTACCATAGCATTACACCAGGGAAACTTTTGTGGGGGGAGTGTTCTATTCCAGAAAGCCCTCTAAGTCATACTCAGCCATGTCAAGATCCTGGCTCTGCTGTTTGCTAACAATCTGGCTGCGGGCGTATCACGTAACTCTTAATGCTCTGGTCTCTCTGCAAGCAGCTGACTGCTAACCGAAAGGCTGGTGGTTCAAACCTGCTGACTGTGCTTCTGGTGGCCTACTTTTGTAAAAGATGCCAGCCTAGGGTCATTGGGAGTGAGAATCAACTTGACTGCCCACAACATCAACCCAGCAAGGGAGCTTACAGCCATATTTTTCTTACAAGTTGTTAAATAGTTTAAACGAGTTGGCGCCTGACACTCATGAAGTGCTAATTAACTACATTATTGTTAAAAAGAGAAGGCCCACTTCCCAGTGTTTCTGAAGTGGAATCATGCTTTTCCAAGATAGATGGCGACCATTTAGAGTTTTAACATTGGTTGCTTTGATCAAAAGTAGCCTATGTATGCCATTGGGTTTATAAAATCCAGAATATAAATATATGCCTCAAAATGACTAAAGGAGAGACTTCAAAAGAAGATCAACTTATACGAAGGACCCTTCAGGTCTGTTGACTTGCTTTTGACCCCCAGTGACCCTGGAGGAGAACTGCCCCTGCGGGTTTCCCAGACTGAGCGCAGTCTCCCCTTTCTCCTGCAGAGCGAGCGCCGGTCTGAGCCTGGCCATGAGGACTTGCTACTTGCAGGTGAACAAAATGTCGTCGTCTCACAGTGTTCCCTGAATCTGAGGTCATCGCAGTATTAATCACGGGAGCGGCCAGCCGGAGCCGTGGGATCAACGGGTGTGTCGGCGCATGAGGAAAGGGGTCACCGCCGATGGATTGCTGTCAGAGCCTCGGGAAGCTAGGTAATGGTTTGAAGTTAAGTTTCATGTTTAAAACGAAGGGGATGACCAGGCGGACTTTAACTGTAAATAAGCTATGCCCACTGAAGGGCCATCACCTGGTAAACATCCGAACACAATCAGCTGTCGGCATCATGATTGTGATGGCTCTTGAGCCCAATTCATCTTTACATATAATTCTAAACTTGGTCTTTAAGCCCTCCCAATACATGTTCCCAGCCCAGCCTTCTGGGCTCACCCTCCCTGCCCGCCCTTCCCAGTAATGCGTGATGCAGCCGAGTTCCAGCGCTGGCTTTCGTGCCCCGGCCCAGCTTCCTTTTCCCGTCATGTCTTTGCCCACATGCTCTGCTCAGGGTGCCCCTGACTGCCCAGGACTGCTTGCTGGCATCCCATGCATTTTTCAAGGCCCCTTCTCCACCACCAGGTGCTTCAGAAAGACTCTATGCTCTCCAAATAGACAGGCTGGGTCCCCCCCCTCTGACTTCCATAGCTCTGGCTACCTCTCATGACAGTGAGTAGCTCTCCCTGGCACACTCCTTCTTTTACTTCTTTAACATCGCTGACAGGGCCAGAGGCAGCCCTTACGACACATCTTCCTGTATCTGTTCAGGGCTGTGCTTGCACGTAGCTAGTGGGCAGACAGGATTTCTCAGTTGAATAGATCTGAACCCACCCGTGGGCACGTGGCAAATGGCCCCTTGCAGAAGTGACCCGCAGGCGGTGCTGCTCCAGCGTCCACTGGTGTCGGCAAAAACACAGTCGCCAAGGAAGGCCGACTCCTCATCTTTCCAGTGCGTGAAAGAGGACTTGGCGCCGTCAGACCAGTCAAAGTGGAGACCGTCCTGTGGAGGGGAAACGGAGCTGTCACTTGGATGTCAACTCCGTGGGTGACATCACCCAAGGCTCTCTGCGTTTCCCAGACTACGGACACAGATTGTGTTTCCACGCCCCTTCCCAGGGTAGCTGTGGAAAGAGCCTAACAAAAAGAACGACCCCCCACAAATCAGGGTTCCAAGTTCGGTGGAAGCTTTGGTCTTCCGCTGCCAAAGTTCCCCAGTCAGCAAGATGAAGGAAGTGCAAACAACACCTTGCTCTTTCCACCAAACTCCATTTCAGATCGCGCTGAGATTTAAAGGGAAAGCATAAAAGCAGTAAAGACAACCTGACTACATTTTTTAATACGCTCTCTTGGTATCAGGAAAATCTTTCCAGCTCTGATATAAAAGGCCATAAAGCAAAACTGGCTACCTAAAGTTAAAATATTCTGTGGTACAAGAATACAATAAATCAAGAAAATCTAACCTGGGAAACTAGCTCTTATTTTTAGTAATTTACTTAGAGAGTTACTTAAAGAACTCTCACAGATCAATAGAAAACACACACACACACACACACAGAGATAATTGACAAAAAATGCAAGATCACAGTAAAACAAAAGGAAAAAAAAAGACAAAGTTCAAGAGCATGTACAGGTAGTCCAATCACCCTGTAATGAAAGAATCAGGCTAAAACAACCCTGAGACAGTGATATTTTGCCTATTCCACTGGCAGGGATTAAAATTTTGATAAGACAGGCAAAGATGCAGGGACACTACATCGTTATTGGCATATAAACTGGTGCACATTTTTGGCGGGCAATTTGGCACTGCTCGTTAACATTTAAAGCATGTGCAGCAATTTCACTTCTAGGACTTTATCCTAATTGCACAAAGATACTTGTTGTTCATTGTTATTCGTAATTGTGAAAACTGAGGAGAATCAAATTACCTTTTGTAGGGGAATGGTTGCACAAACTGTGGTGTATCTTTATAGACCCCTGCTACCAGGAATGAGTTAAGAGTTTTATGTGCTGATATGGAAAGCTGTAATTGGTATTTTAAACGAATTAAAAAAAAGTTTCAAGACACTTTGGAAATGTAGAGTGATCCCATTTGTGTTTAAAAATGATATAGCAATGATGAAAAAGACAACTTTCCTCTAGTTCCTAAATGCTTCCTCCCCGCTCCCACTATCATGACACGAATTCGACCTTGCAAGTCTGGCTAGACCAGAGGATGTACACTGGTGTAGGTGGGAACTGAAAATCCAGGGAATCCAGGGCAGATGATCCCTTCAGGACCAGTGGTGTGAGTGAAACAGGGAGGGTAGAGGGAGAGTGGGTAGGAAAGAGGGAACAGATTACAAGGAACTATATGTGACCGCCTCCCTGGGGGACGGACAACCAAAAAGTGGGTGAAGGGAGACGTCAGACAGGGCAAGATATGACAAAATAACAATTTATAAATTATCAAGGGCTCATGAGGGAGGGGAAAAATGAGGACCTAATGCCGGGGGCTTAAGTGGAGAGGAAATGTTTTGAGAATGATGAGGGCAATGAATGTACAAATGTGCTTTACACAATTGATGTATGTATGGATTGTGATAAGAGTTGTATGAGCCCCTAATAAAATGATTTAAAAAAAATGATGTATTTGGACACAGCTTACATGTAGACATGGGGAAAACTTTCTAGATGACACTCAAGAAGGTATTTACAGTCGTTGACTTTGTGAAATAAAACTAGGTATCAGTTTAGAATTTATTTTGTTTCATTGAAAAAGAAATCTGACTTTTCCAAGCACATCCCTGGGGGGGGGTGTGAGCGATCCCAAACAACCTACCGTATATACTCGTGTATAAACCGAGTTTTTCAGCACATTTTTAATGCAGTTTTTGTGGTAAAATTAGGTGCCTCGTCGGATATTCGGGTCGGCTTATACTTGTGTATATACGGTATGTTAATTTCAAGGAGCATGGAGTCAATTAGTAACCAACTTCCTTGGTAGGAAGTGTGATTCATTTTTCTTTGTGGATGCTCTAAATATGACAAGTGACCCAAGTAGAGATGCTTCAGGTTAAGATGTGCTCCCATTAGTCAGTGTCCTCTGAGAAATTCAAAACTTCCCCGAGAACCCTTGAAGGATATTAATAGTTAGAAGTTAGTCAAGTTGGTGTTTACCCTAAAAAAAAAAAAAGAGTATCCCTTTATTTTGTAGTCATAGGCTGCTCATCAGGTTGACCAATAGTTACTCGATAAACCAATGATTAACACCACATTTACTGTTATTCCCGGGAGCATCTTTCACTGTGCTAAACACAGTGCTGGGATCATTTAGGGGGGAAATGTGAAACTGAGTTTTGCGAGGACTTCCGAGGGACTTTGGCTACCTACATCTGCGGTGTACAGTCCGATCCAGTGGGCACGTCCCAGCCGGTTGAGGATAACTGTGAGGAAGGACTGATGATACTGGTCAGTAATGCTGACCAGTTCTGCTCCGTGCAGCAGGCAGGTTTTCATCGCTGTGTGCCAGGTCATATTTGCATGAATTATTTTGTAAGTGCGGTTTCCATAGTCTAACGTACTGGGAATGGGGTACATATCAGACCTATTTACACTGTGCCCAGAAGGATCTAGAACAGAGTAAAACAAGAACAAAAACCAATTGTAGCATCTGGACGAGAAAGGGGGAGGCCAACCTTACCACCTCTGTCCACTCTGATCCATGCTGACACACCTGGGGCCCTTATAGTGGGACCATCGGTTCAACCGCGCCTGGTAGTTAATGGCAGGGAATTTCTCTGCCCAGAATTTCCCATTTCAAAATGTGGACATGACCTGAAATTGCACGTAGTGTTCAGGCATTAGAACACTTAGGGAATGGAATGGTGGCGTTCTTCCAAACGACACTTGTATATCCATGCACTTCTGGAAGCTTTCTGTTTTTGAGGATTCCTATCCAAGAGACCACTTTTTGGTGGAGCTGTCAGAGAGCCCTCAGGCAGGTTTTGCTCCACCAACCTGTGGGAGCAGAACGTAGAGCGTGCTCATAAAATAGTCTCAAGGTTTATGTAGGAGCATTGCAGCCATTATTTTGCACGTGGAAGTCCTCAGATACGGGACTTCAGTAAACTTCTGAGCCAGCATGACCGTCACTGCCAGATTTAAAGTTTTGCCTACGTCAATTCTTCCCTAGGGCTGTGGGTTGATGTTGAATGTCTTAAAGATCTCACATGCATAAAACACTAAGACATTCAACTCATATTCCAAATGAGCACATGCGTGAGGGGAACTTCTAAGACTTCATGGGAAAATCCCAGGATCCTTTCATTCCATTTCCCCACAAACTTGGGGAAGCCTCCCTCATATGTTAGGCTGATCAAAGTTGCACAAAGTTCCAGCCATAAGCTATGACCCTGCAGGTAACATGATTTCGGTAGCCTAGCACCCAAGAAGAGCAAAACAGATACTACCTATTGTTGTTACTGTTTTTATTTTCCTCTGCCAAGGTTACACTCTTTGTCATAGTAGCCCTGGTAGTCTTGTGGAGATGGCATTGAACTGCTAACCACAGCACTCTAAAAACCGGACTCACTGCCCTTGAGTCAGTTCAGACTCATATCCATCCTATGAGTAGAACTCCCTTGGGAATTCCCGAGGCTGTAACTCTCTAAGGGAGCAAAACGCCTCCCATAACCCGCTGACCTTGGGCTTAGCAGTCTAACAGGTAACCACTATACCACCGGCGCTCTAGGAGGTGGGCTCAAACTCACAAACTGCTGCTCCACTCTACAGTCTTGGAAACTCTCGGGTCGCTCTGAGTGGGAATGAGTATAGGGGTTACAGCAGTATCACGCTGGTGGCATGTCATACCAGATGTCCTTGTAGGTTAGGCCATCAGATCTGGAAACATGGCTGCATGCCATGTTTAGCTACGGAAACCATTGCTAAGGTTGCAAGACGGAAGTGGCATGAATTAGTTGATTTCTCTGACTCTCTTCAATATTTTTTCAATTGCTGGATCAGACACCTAATCTCAGGCAAATTAAATGTAACACAGCCATTAGAATGACTAATACAAATGTCAACCTTGCTCATCATCCCAGTGGCCCAAGTCCTAGTGTAGGGCACGATCACAGGATAGTGAGGGATTAAATGACTGAATTTCTGTAAAGCTAAATAAATGAATGAATGAATGCTTGGCACTCTTAGATCTGAAACTGTTTGCTATAGAGCCGTGTAAAACAGATATGGAAGAGACTAATGAACCATGGAGATGAAAAGTAGGGAAAAAAAATTTCTTACCCTGAATTTTTTCACAAACAAACCCATAACATTCTTTTCCACAGTCTTCAAAATACCATTTTCCAGTGAAATTAAAATTAGGATTACTTGACAGCAAGGCACAGAGAGGAACGTTGTTTGGAACTCCGGTGGTGTTATGATGTGGAGTCTTGAAAAGAATATATAACTGTTACCCCCAAAATAGGTCTTTGACATTTTTATTCAGAACGTAATTTTCTGATTAAAGGCCAATTACTATTCATTTATTTAGCATTAAATAAGCCTGTTCACAATTCATTTCATAACTTACAAAGCAAGTAATTATTGTGATGCGTAAAGTAATTACATTTCTGGAACATGGGAGAATTATATTAAATAATAATATTAAAATGAATACATACATTAACAGCAGATGTACACATTTATGAAAACATTAGTAAACACGTTTTGAATAGAATCTCATGCCAAAACCATCTTGTAGAAAGTAAACCTTGAGACTTACATTTGTTACCACAAATGGAGACCAGTTGGAGTACACTACAGGCTTTCCACTTTGCCATTTTTCATAATCATCATTCTGCAGCCCTATCCACATATTGGTGGTCGCGCCAAAAAGATTCATAGTAATGAAAGCTAAAAAAGAGGAACACATTACCATATTTAATACCATATACCATTTGGGTAATCACGGAACTCTGTTTATAACTGTGATTATATTTAAGTGACAGGCAAACATTAATTACAAATCAATTGTAGCAATCTGTTATTTTGTTCTGTTAGGGTAACACAGTCTCTTCCACTTCTACTTCACTTAAATTGACAGGAGATAGCTCGCTAAGCCTGGGGTTTCATTATATCATTAACAAGACAGTTTCCAGGGTTCATTCATCGCTTTTCTACACGACATGACTGACATACTGTACACCCACTTTTCACTTACTGAGCGTCTCACTATTGAGCATCTCACGATCCAACATTTCACTGATGACAATAGGAATACTCTTTGATGACGTGGTGCATTGACAATGTGCACCTGGGGGTAACAGACCCCACGGTTCTGGGTGTGAGGCATGCTGGCTGTGACGGCTACCGTTACGTGTCAACGTGGCTGGGCCACGATTCTCAGGGTAATGATGTATTCATCTTCCAGTTTTGTCCTTTGACATGAAAATCTTCCATTTTTGTATAATGCCAGCTTTCATATAATGACCTGGTCACTGTATGTGACTAACTGTTTCGATAAGTGAGGAGTGGGTGTCTGGAAGCTGGTTATATATACATTAAAGTGCACTGGTAAATTTTTAAAAATGCAAATATTTACACTATACAATTAGAAATGACTATCTTAGATTATTTGAGTCATCTAAACATACAGCTAATAGCCATCTCTATTTGCTCCATTATTCTTGGTGAGACAAAGGACTCCGGAAGCCGGCAGCTTATTAGCAATGCAGCATTGCAGGATCCTAACTTTTATAGATGTCATTAAAAAGCAAGCAAACAAATAACTTTGTGTGCAAATGTAAAAATTCTATGCCTCAGCGATAAAACACTTTGAGTGTTGCTTTGGAAATGTTAAGAACTTTTTGGAATGTGTGTATATCTATATCTATACTGCTTGAATAGAAAAGGTTATTTTGGCATCTTGGCCTGGTTGAACAATGAGTACTCTACCTTGCTCCACCTCGCTTTCGATGGAGACCAGTGTGCCCCCCTCTTCAACACAGAACTTTTGAGCCGTTGTCCAGTTCGTCTGATGGCTTGGGTCTTTGGGGGTTTTCAACAAAAGGCACTATCAAAAAATATCAAAAGCAAGTCTTCAGTTTTGTATTTTTCTAAAGAGAAAATTTCCCAAACATACTCTGAGGATGACCCTTGAAAATTCTACGAAATTTTCTTGAGCAGAAATAACAACCAACCCTTTTGAGAATGATGAGGGCAATGAATGTACAAATGCGCTTTACACAATTGATGTGTGTATGGATTGGGATAAGAGTTGTATGAGCCCCTAATAAAATGATTAAAAAAAACAAAAACAACCAACCCTCCCCACCCCGTGCCCTTCACCTGTACCAAAACACAGAACAACCACGTCCCAGGTGAGCCAGTGATGGCGTGCGTTTGCCTGCGGCAGGAAGAGACACAAGATGTGTGTGTGGACAGGATTTTAGAATAACGGATTCTGCTTCACTAAGTCCAGAATTCCCACCCCAAATGAAGCCATTCTGATTGAACTGGCCGAGATCATCTTAAAAAAAAAATGTTCTGGGGGTGAAAATGAACAGTTTGGTTCCATTGTATTTACAAATACATGGCCTCACTTTGAAGGAGAGATGGATGCTGAAGAATGAAACTACATCCAGGTATTTACATTCATCCAGTACTTGGAATTGAACAGTCAGTAAACCAATCAGCAAGAGCCGGGAAAAGAAAGGATAAGGCAGGTGGGAGGAAAATCGGGCCAGGGCAAGACCAGGGAGCCCGGAAGAAGAAACAAAGGAAGGGAGGGATCCGCCAACAACCTCGAGGAAGAAAGACCAGACCAGGCCTGGAGACAGGGCAGTGGGCGGTTAGCTGCCTGGCACTCCTGAGAGAGCCCTGCCTGTGGCATGGCAAGGGTTTCTTTGCTCAGACTGAGAAATGGAATGGTGCCCCCACCTGGTCACGGTCAGTGAGGAGCCCCTGGGGTGCAAACAGCACACTCAGGGCTAGCTGAAAGACCGGAGGCTTGGCTCCACCTAGAGATGTCTCAGCAGAAAGGCCTGGTGATTTACTTCCAGAAAATTAGCAACAGAAAATCCTATGGCACACAGGTTTCCTGGGACACATATGGGGGGGGGTGTGTGTGTGTCCAATGGCAACTAGTTTAAAGGATCAGTGACCTTTAAAGGATCAGTGAACTCATTGGCAGGATCAAGGAGAGCCCGAGATGAGACGAACAGGCTGGATCAGGCAAGGCTCCAGGGAGTTAGTAGAGTAAAGTACAATTTTGTGAAATGTGAGGATTGTTTCTCCTTCAGTGAAATTTGACAATATCTAGAGACATTCTACTGGTTCAAACTTGGGGAGTGGGCAGCTGTTGGCACCCAGTAGGTGGATGCGAGGGGTGT